ATGGGTAGTAGGTCTAATAGCTAAAAAGGCACAGCCGTGTCACTATTGATTAAAAAGAGCAAATTTAACGTTCAAGGGATCAGCAAATCTTCACGGAGAGAGCATGGAATTTAGAATGAGACAGATTTAGGTTTGGATTCTGCGCTGGCCAAGTATTAGCAAGTCATTTGACCTCTCCATTTCTTCATTTCCTCGTCTTTGAATGCCGGTGATAGTGCTTACCTTGCCCAGGTGTGGGAGTGGATTAAGCATGTCATACGTGAGGCCCCCAGGCAGAGCCAGATCCATAAAGACACCCAATCACCGTATTGCCTGTTCTTTTATTACTGCGCACACAGTAACACGTAAGAAACAAATAACAGAGACATTACTCCAAAAGTTCTCTAGAACCCAGGGCTACTCCCTGCCCGCCAACTAGGGAAGGCTCTGCCGGTTTCGGTGACTGGCCATGGCGAGGCCCTTCGACAACCCGGCCCCCATGGCCTCGTCTGGAAGATGAAGGAATCTCGCTTGGTTCTGAACATCTCTGCGTCCCTAATCCTAACCATTTATTTTGAAAATCATATAGAGCGAGGCTGTGAAATGTGGGTCACGTCTAGCAAGTGTCACCTGTGCAGCCAAAGAACAGAACCGAGAGGAGGAAGAAAGCAGATGATAACAAGATGATAACAAGATTTCACGGCCAGTGTTACACACGCCCGCCGAGGTCTGCAGCCCGGGTGTGTGTGCGCGCACGCGCGTGCGTGTGTGTGTGTGTGCGTGTTCCCCGTTGACTCTCCGTCTGTTCGCACTTGCTTGTTTTTATGATCTCCCATGCAATTTTGAACCACGCCTTCTTCAGCCCCGGCATTTTTTGATCAAGGCACACTTTTCACAAAGTGAAATGTACTGATCTTCCTGTGTGTGCAATTCGATGGTCGACCCCCACACGTGTGTAACACACAGCCATGTGACAGTCCAGCGTCAGAAAGCCCTGCCACACCCCTCCCCAGTCTGTGCCTCCTACCCCAAGATGGACAAGGCTCTGATGTGCTTCATCACAGATAAGGTCTGCATGTTACACACCTTCGAACCAAAGAAATCATACAAGATGTATTATTTGTGTCTGGCTTCTTTTGCTCAGCATACTGTTTTTGAGGGTCGTACATTTTGTTGAATGTATCAATAATTCATTCCTCTTTATTGTCTAGCAGTATTTCATTATGTGGATATGCCACAGCTTCTCCATTCTCCTGTTGGTGGAGGTCTGGGCCGTATCCAGTTTGGGGCTCTTAAGAATACAATGGTTATAAATATTTTTACACAAGACCTTTTGTGTATATGTGGTTTTTTTTTTTTCCTCTTGAGTAAATACCTAGAATTTCTGGGTCATGGACTAGGTAAACGTTTAACTTCATAAGAAACTGCCAGATCTGTTCCCAGAGTGAGTGCACTGTCCTATAGCTACCAGCAACATCCACTCTGTGTCATCAACATTCGCTATCGTCAGCCGTTGTAATTTTCAGCCTGAAATGTCTCTATCTTTTTTTTTTATCTTATGCCAAAGAGTTAAGTTTAAGATAAGCAAAAAAAAAAAAAAAAATTTTTTTTGATACCAAAGATAAACATCTAAGATGACTCAAGTTTGGCATGAATTAATAAAAAAGATGATTTTGTGTTAAATTTAATGTCAATTGAAATAACTGCTCAAAAAGGTCACCAGCTATAATCCACACGCTACCCGTATGTATTATGTATGCAGAGCTAGGTCCCCATGATTTAGGTCCCCTGCTTAGCAATGGTCCTGCATCCCTTGTCATGTCGATTCACCCGTGATGCTTAAAGGAGGCCTCCTCCAGGCAGCCCACCAGCAACATGCAGGGTTGGGAGTGCCCCTTACAGGCTGACGGAGCTTATGACGTCGTAACTGTGCACCGTCTCCCACCCTGACTTCCAGTGCCCCGAGAGGGAGGATTTGTTTTTCATGTATCTTTGTATCGAGTGAGCATCATCGGTATTCAATCAATGGAGGAAGCTGATCCAGCGAGCGAATAAATGCATTCTTAACAATACTGAATTATGCCCTAGGAAGACACACCCTTTGAATAGCCATATATTCATGGGAGTTTTCATCGGGGGAAGAGATGGGAGGGAGCCATAGCTGAAAAATTCTGAGAAGCAGATTTCAGTTGATTTTATCTTTTTGGGGGCGGGGAGGGAGGGGCAAAACATGAGAGATGACTGCGTTTACCAACACATAACAGAGGCCCAAAGGGTGGGCTGTCGTGTGGCCTGAACCCCTGGAAGAGTGAAATAACCGTGAAGAGAGAAAGGCCACCACAGCCATCTCGTTCCTTTTCCTCGAGTTTTAAGTACAGAAACTCAACACCAAACAGCCATGGAGCCAGCGGAAGCGAAGAGTCGGCTTCGGCGGCTCCTCCTGCCTTCGCCCTGGCGTTATTTTGTGTGTTCTCGGTGTCCCACTTCACCCTGCCACCTCCCAGCACCCCCTCCCCCTGACGTGGGCCATGACGCTGGCCCTTCCCCTTCCCCTCTCTCACAATCTACCTGGTCCCGGGCTCCTGGGCTGTCTGAGAGGGGTCATCCCGACGACTTAGGCAGAGATGCTAAGAATTCAGCCTAACACACCTGCCTGGTTTCCACTCTCTGGCACACGCTCTCAGCCCTGAGACAAGTGAGCTCTGCTGAGGTCTCGCCAGCAAAAAGCATTAGTGTCACCCTGGACAGAGGCAAATGACAAGAAGTTCCAGGCGTAAGAACCCCAAGGGAGCCTCCCATTTGCTTGTCACTTCCAGACAGCTGGCCTCGGTGGGTGGCCATTCCAAAGCAAAGCGAAGGAGGAAAAACTAGAATCCACTGGAAGCAGAGGCTGCAGGACCCACGTCACCACGAACGGCCAAGACTATGGGGCGCCAGTCCCGGGCTGTCTAGGGGACTGGGGAGCAGGCGAGCTAAGAAGGAACCAAAGGTTAGACTTGCCCCAAAGCTACCTTGTCAGGTCACAGGCCACGTCTCAACTGTCTGGGAAGAAAGCCCAACTGGAGGACAGTGTCCCTGTGAAGAATCGGGTTACCGGGGCATCGAGGAGGGAGCTACTGAGTGGGAGCACTCTGAGGGTCCCTAGCTCGCTCTTGGGGGGCACTGCTAAGGCTCCAACTGAGAATGACACGCAGACAAGAGACAGAGGCCCCGGCAGCTGGCGTGGTTCCTGGGCCCGCAGAGAAGGGACGGCTCCATCTGCGTGTGAGCCCCGGGCGGATGGGAGCGTCTGCTTCCCGAGGACAGAAATACTCAGTCTACGGGTCAACCAGACGTGGCTCCAGGAGGGAGAAAGGCGGGCGTGACATGCAGGTGTCGCTTCCTATGGGATCCAAGGCCGGGAGAGGCGTGGAGAGCAGGCTTGGGTCCCGCACCCTTCTGCTCTGCCTCCTGGGAGATCTGAGCGGCAGACCTCGAGGAACCCTCAGTGTCCTGGGTTGTCACACTGGCCCAGGGGCATCTGTTAAGAGCAGTGAAGCGCCGAGTGGGAAACACAGACTCTTGCTTCTGCCTCTGAGCGAGGCGTGACATCCGCTCTGTGACACCTGCGGCTAGAGGCTCCTTGAGACCCAGCGTTTGAGCTCCGTCAGGTACCTTTGGGGCATCGGCCCTCAGTCTGAGGGCGGAAGACACTTCTTTCTCCCAACACACACACATGCACACATGTGCACACGTGCACATGTGCACACGTGCACACACACAAGCATACACACACGCATGCACACATATGTGCACACATGCACATGCATACACACATGCATGCATGCACACATGCATATGCACGTGCACACATGCACACAGGCACACACACACTACACATACACATCCTCTTATCTCCAGCACAGTTTCAGTCTTGTGTGGGGCAGGAGATCCAAGAATGAAAAAGCGTTTCAGCAAGGATTTCGGAGGAGCGGGCTCT